GTTTGGGGCTACTGATGATAGTAAAGGAATGGCTTCTAATTTCAAAGTTCAGATAATTATATCTAACATGAGGGAAAAAAGAAGGGAAAGGGTATACTTATTATGGTTATTTTATGTCTGCCATCTTTATAGGGATTTCCATTTGTTCATTATGTGAAATCAAAAACAATTGTTGAGCAGCTTCTGTTTACTAGGCAAGGGGCTAAGTACTGTGGTGGCTACTATATGCACCTAAATCCTGAGCGCTCCTTCACCTCAAGGAGCTAGAAGTCTAACAGGAGAATTAGGACAAGTTTGCAAATAACCAGGATCCCAGACCATTTCCCATCAGGAGAGAAGTCCCACACAGTGCTGCAGGGAGTTCAAAAGAAAGGAAAGTGGTTACTTCTGACTTAGACAGTCAAGGACAGCTTCTTGGAGACAGTGAATTAGAAAGTGTCTAGTGAAGGAGAAACCCCCTGAAGGAGGGTGTAGCAGTTTCCTCCTGCTGCCACAACAAATTCCATAGACTTAGTGGCTTAAAGCAACAAAAATGTCTTCTCTTACAGTTCTGGAGGCCAGAAGTCCAACATGGATCTCAATGGCTAACACCAAGATGTCATCAGGGTTGAATTCTTTCCTGGAGATTCTAGGAGGGGGAGTCTATTTCCTGTCCATTTGGGTTGTTAGCAGAACTCAGTTCTTTGTGGTTGTAGGACTGAGGTTCCTGTTTTCTTGCTGGCTATAAATCGAGGGCTTTACAAAGCTTCTAGAAGCCACTGCATTCCTTGGATCGTGGCCCTTCCTCTGTATCCAAACCCAGTTGCAGGTCAAATCCCTCCCATGTTGTAGCATCCAACCTTCCCTTCTGTTCCCTTCCACTTTAAGGACCCTTTTAATTACAGCGGGCCCCACTTAAATAATACAAAATAATCTCCCCATCTCAATGTCTGTAACTTTAATCACATCTGCAATGTCCATTCTGCCATGTGGAGTAACATTCACAGGCCCCAGACATTAAGGCATGGATATCTTGGTGGGGAAGTGGCATTCTGCTACCTACCACATGGGAGTAGGATTTCGACCAGGAGAAAAAGTGGGGAGTAGACAGCCAAGCCTGGCAAAGCATGAGCAGGACATGGAGACAGATTCCAAGCAGGAAACAGCCATTTTGTTAGCATGGAAGTCTAGGGTACACACACCTGCATACATGCACACACGGAGTCAAAGAATGCAAAGGAAGCCTGGAAATACATTTTTTCACTTCATCATGGAGGGCTTGTCAACTATCAAAGAGTCTAGGCTTTGTTCGGTAGGCAGTGGGGAGCTCCTGGAGGTTTTTGAGTAGGCTGCACATTAGGACAACTGATGTGGCTTCAGGCTGTGAAGAATGGATGGGAAAAAGATGAAACTGAAAGGAGGGGAGCCCATTTAGGCCACCATAAGGGTCTAAAAATGAAAGGGAACGGTGATGCCGGGGTCTCCTCTCCCATTCTTCACCTGTGCTGCAGACCTAGAAGGTGGTAAGGTAACAACTATGTGCCTCTGCAAGTCATTAATTGTATGGTAACTTATTACAGCAGCAGAATTCTCCCATTTAAAACAAGTTCTCCCCTTGAACCCTCATTGTCCTCCAGCTACTTTCATTTCCTTGTTTCTTTGCCACCTTACTCATCACAAATGTTTCCCGCCTAACGTCTCCTCTCTTCAGCCTCCCAAGAGAGAGCTCTCCGCTAAGGTTCCACTGACTGCCAGGTCTTTAAATCCAAGGGACATTTTTCAGTTCTCATTTTACCTGACTTTTTAGGAGCATGCATCTTTGTTGATCTCTCCTGCCCTGAAACACTCTTCCCTTTGTTTCTGTGAAACCACATTGACTGGAAACCACATTGACTTCCAGCTCTCTGGCAGCTTGTCTGTTTCCTGTGCAGGCTCACCCTGCTCTACTCACCATGGAATGTTGCATTTCCTCAACATTCAAGTCCCCTCCCCCTTCAAATTCCTCTACACCTTCAGCTTTGGTGGCCACCTGCAGTATATGCAGGCAACTCACAAGGTTGGATCTCCTGATCAGATTTCTTCTGAGCTACAAATGGGTGTCTACAACTGTCTTCATAACACCTCCATTCACTCCACTCCACCCCAAATGATAGCTCCAAAACCAAATGCAGGATCTCAGTGCAATGGAAGGCACTATCATCCACCAGTTTGAGAAGTTAGAAACCTCACAGCCACTTGCTTCTCCCTTGGGCCATACAGCTGATCCCATTGTTATTTCTCCATTTCATCTACTCTCTTCCTCCTCCAAAGCTATCATCTTAGCCCGAGCTGTATCACTTCATTACTCGACTAGCCTTTGCCTCCTTCCTTTCAGCTCCCACTCATCCTTCACTCAGCCCCCAGAATGATCTTTTGGAAACACATCAGGTCACGTCATTCCATCATGTCCCTTTCATGACTTCCCATTGTTCTGAGTATAAAGACTAAGATCTTAAAGTGACACACAAGGCCCTATGTAGCCTGACCCCTGCCTACCTCTCTATCCTCACCTTTTATCTCCCACCCCCTACTTATGCATGCCAATAACAATAGTCTCTTTTAGCATTTAAAGTGGTGCCTTATGTTCCTTCCCCCACAGGGCCTTTGCACAGGTAGTTCTCTCTGTTAGAATGCTTTTCCTGTCCATCTTGTTAATTTCTTTGCATCTTTTACATCTCAGCTAAAGTGCTTCCTGATTTTTTAGGCCAGATCACATCCCCTCTTTTATAAAATCTCAATGGATAGTTGTGTCTACTTTATAGTACTAGCCACAGTCCCAAATTTCCATGTTTGTAGCATTACCTCATTATTATTTACCTCTCCCACTAGACTTGTAAGCTCCATGAGAATGCCTGTGTTCAGTATTTTGTCCCTGGTACCTAGCACATCTGGGCGCCCAATGTGTTGAACAAATTAGGTACTGCTGAAGAGGGTGACAAGACTAGCATATTGTAAATGCATGATAAATATTTGAGTGAATATGTGTTCCATTTAGACCACTTTGACTTTGAAAGGTTGTCAAACCACACATATGAAAATGTCTAGAATTGGTTGGAAGTCTGGAAATGAATATGTGTGACTTTCAAATGCAAATTATAACTTTCTTACCCATGAACACACTCAAATTCCTGTGTATGTAAAATACCAGGAAGAAAAGGTAGGCAAACTCAAGATCTTGTTTTTCTTTGAGGTCACCTTTCAGTGTAGACAAAAACCTTGTTCCGTTCTTTTGTTGTGTGAACGCTGGCCACTGTGATGCTTTCCACCAGAGTGTTGTCCTCTCATCTCCTCTCTCTGCCTGAGCTCAGTTTAACTTTCTTTCACCCTCTGTGATATCTCCCCAATATTCTTTCAGCTCCTCTCTCCTCCCTGAGTATTAATTTGACAGTAGGTAAGCACAGAGAGATACCATCTGGTCTTCCCAACTTCTCTGTTTACTTCACCGTCTTATTTCTCTAACATTCTCCCTACTCTCTCCATTCTGTCCATTCTCCGCATGCCTGAAATACCAGGCTTTCCCATGACTTTGCTCCTGCCCTTCTCCCCTTCCAAGTATCTTTACCTCAAACTTTAGTTCTTTCTCTCACCTCTTTCTGAGAGGTATTAGCTCTGGGACATTTTTCAAGTTTCAACCCCAAACCAAGAAACTCTTTTTGTTCTGGAGTTGCCAGCTATCAAATACAATCTGCATGACTGCTTCCTGACTTTTACAGATTTCCCTTTGCTCTTTGAAATTTGGCAGCCTGTCACTGGCCCCCTTCCACTTCTGCATATGAAATTACCTTATCATCATCTCATCAGAGTTTTTATTATCAAAAGCCATTTATCAAGCATCTGACTATAACACACTCAATTGTTTTTTTTTTTAGATCTGATTAACAAAACAAAATACATAGTCTTAAAAGCACTGTTCGATAAAACATTTAGTAGTTAATTTTAACATTAAAAATAGACCATGAAAATGTTTCTTTTACAATTACGCAATTAAATATTTATTGTCAATTTAGATGAGCTCAGATGTTTCCCTTTTAAAATGTAAATTTCACTATTGAAATTAATTTTGTGGAGAGAAGAGTTTGAGCCTTAGACTTTTAGTTTTTCCTAAAGCAAGTATCACCAATGTTTACTGCAAAAGATGAAATTAAAAATTTGAGGGACACTTGGGTGGCTCAGTAGGTTAAGCATCTGCCTTTGGCTCAGATCATGATCCCAGGGTCCTGGGTTCGAGCCCTGCATCAGTCTCCTTGTTTAGTGGGGAGCCTGCTTCTCACTCTGCCTGCCACTCCCCCTGCTTGTGTGTGCTCCCTTCTTCTCTCTCTCTCTCTCTCACTCTCACTCTCTCTCGCTCTCTGACAAGTAAATAAATAAAATCTTTAAAAATAAATCAAAAATTTGAATGGAAGGTTTTAGAACATATAGGAGCATATAGACCTTTTCAGTGGGATTTTTATTTCAGTTACAGACATAACAACATGCTGCTCAAGTCTGCAAATAAAACAGAAATTGCAGCCAACTATAAACGTAATGAGAAATAAGTAAATAGCTGGTGTTGCTGTCATAGCTCACTCAGCATAAAAAGTAAGCTAACGGAGGATGTGGTAAGAAAAGAAAATTTGTTTTAGCAATTCGTCTCTTAATAATGTAAAGTGTCAACATAAGAATTCTCTAAATGCAGAATGTGATTTTTATCTTGACAGTGTTTCTTTGAGGTCTTCTGGGAACAAATCTTTTTTTTTTTTTTAAAGATTTTATTTATTTATTTTGACAGAGAGAGACACAGCGAGAGAGGGAACACAAGCAGGGGGAGTGGGAGAGGGAGAAGCAGGCTTCCCGCGGAGCAGGGAGCCCGATGCGGGACTCGATCCCAGGACCCTGGGATCATGACCTGAGCCGAAGGCAGACGCTTAACGACTGAGCCACCCAGGCGCCCCTGGGAACAAATCTTAAACTCTTGAGCAATTCTGACTTATGCAATCACATACTTTATTACTCATCTGAGAAGCAGAGTGGCTATGCGGAGAATGAAGCTGCGCTCCGTGGTGTTGGAGGGCTGGAAAGGCAGGTCTGCAGAGACTGTCCAGGTGGCCACCGTGGAAGGCTTGCTGGGACCCTGGACCTTCTCCTAAACATGCCCCAGAGAGTTTTACCAAGTTTTCCACAAGGTCCTGTTTTCCAAAATGGAAATAAATAACAAAATAAACCAAAATCAGAGAAAATTTTTCTCTCATGAATTTAATATTAGAAAACATGTTTAAGAATGAAAACTTAATACTGGGGATTTTCTCCTCTGGTATCAGAAACATTTTCATTATTGTGAAACATAAGAGTTTGTACACTTAAAAATGGTTAAGATGGTAAATTGTAAGTTAGGTGTATTTTACCAAAATTGAAAAAAATTGGAGAGAAACCTAGAGGTGGAATCTATTAAATAGGTTCCTATTAAATAAAGGCATTTAAAAAATTACAAAATATAAAACATTTCTGATCATTCATCTGCTATCTAGTAATCTATTACTCTCTTAAAAACAATAATAATCTACTTGTCTCTAAGTCTGACTTTCTACAATATATACCCTTTGGGAAATATCCAGAAACTGAAGAAGCAAAAGGCCTTTTAACAGTTGAAATAGCCATCACGAAGTCCTAGTTCTTCCTTGCAGAGGAAAGACCTTTAGGAATGAGAAGTTCTATTAGCTCTTACTTTACATACAATTTTGATAAGCTGAGTAATCTTTCTTACACAACAGTAGATTGAAAGCAGAAAATTAGTAAGGTATGGTATTTTACTAGAGACTGGAATCTTGATAGCAGAGGGAAAAAAAAAGGAGTTGATTATCTAACAGAGGCAAAACTAACTGCAAAGAAATCCCTCAAAAAAGCCCCCAAACAAACAAGAAGGGGAGGAGGAATGGGATTTGTTTAATGGGTAAGAGTCTTAGTTTGGGATGATAAAGTTCTGGAGATGGGTGGTGGTGATGGTTGTACAACATTGTGAACTTAATGGCACTGAACTGTACACTTAAAACTAGTTAAAATGATAAATTTTATATTATGTATATTTTATCACAATTACCAAAAAAAGGTTAGAAAAAGAGTTCATCATTGAAACAGAGCCCCCAACTAATAGAGCTGATATTGTTAATCCTTTCTCTGGATTTTTTTTCTTTTCATTTTTTTTTTCTTTCTCTAGAAGTTGCTACAAGTTTGCAGAACCGAAAACTCCGAACCAACAATGAACGAGTAGATCTCTTTGGCGGACCCAGAGTCATTGGTTTCAAGAAAAAGTGGTATTAAATTTTGATATTTGAGATATTAAAGTGCATTCAGTATATTTGAACTAGCAGGTAAGAAGTTCTTTATATGTAGTCTCGGGGGAAGAATATGGTTCCTATTCTTGTGGAATTTATGATCTAATCAAGGAAACAAAAAACATGGGTATAAAACAAATTAAATCAGTGTAGCTCATCTAGTTTTTTAGGGCTTTTAAGACTAGAGCCTGCTTTTCGGGCACTAAGACATAAAGAGGCTGAGCCATAATCAGGTTTTTTGCATTGGAAGCTTGGGGAGGGGGTGGGAGGCAGGTAGGTAGTCTTAGGGCATATTCCTCAGGGGCCTCAGTGAGAACCCCTAAAACATCCTGGCCTCATAACTGCAGGGGACTGGCCAGGGAGTGGATCCATAGCCTCTCTCTTCTCTGGCTCATGCTGGAGACACATCTTTGAATTCCCCTCTTCCTCACTGCACAAAGCCCATTATTTGACTTCAGTTTCCTTATTTATAAGTGCATTATAATCATGATTCTTGAGGTCCGTGATTTCAAGCTTTGGAGTCAGATCTATCAAGGTTTGAATCCCAGCTCTTGGTTACTGGGGCTCTCTGTGTTTTAGGGTCCTCTTCCAGAAAAATGGGGTTAATAACATGGTTGTCTAGAGCATTAAATGAGAATACACAGGTTTAGGGCAGCAGCTGGTATAGATTAAGGACATATATATATATTTATATATATATATACACATACATACTATGTTAATTAATTTATACATTGTAGCTTCGCCACTGCTGTAGGCTTTATGCTCAGCTGGACTTGTGTTCTCTCTCTCTTTTCTCCTCTTCTCAGCTGATGCATTGTGTGGATGTACTTATTAAACATAATTTTTGTTAATTATTCTATTTAAAAGTATTAAGAATATGAGACAAAAATCACCCAGAAGGTGTGAAATAGGTGAAGGGGATTAAGAGTATACTTATCATGATGAGCACTGAGTAATGTATAGAATTGATGAACCACTATATTTTACACCTGAAATTAATGTAACACTGATGTTAACTACACTGGAATTAAAATTAAAATCTTCATAAAAAAATCAAGTACATATAAAAAATAATAAAGAAATAAAACAAAAAATCACCCAGAATGACTACATCCAGAAACTACAACTTTCAGCATTTGGCTGCATACTTTTCTGGACTTAAAGATTTTTTTTGAGAGAGAGAGAGAGCAGGGGGAAGGGCAGAGAGACAAGCAGACTCCCTGCTGAGTGTGGAATCAGAGGCAGGGCTGGATCCCAGGACCCTGAGATCATTACCTAAGCCAAAGTCAGCTGCTTAACCAACTGAGCCACCCAGGCGCCCCCCCCCGATATCTGTATATTTTTTAAAATTCTATATTATATGGTATAAAATATATATTTTTGTATACATATTTTAAAATATAAATATATATACTTATATTATTTTACAAAATTGGATACCACTTGCTTTTTTTCGAACACATCTACAAGACTGTCAGCTCCAGCAGGGGATAAATCATGTGGTTTTGCTCTCCATGGTATCCCCTGTGCCTGGTTTAGCCCATGACTCATGGCAGTACTCAAAAAATAAAAAAACAAAAAACCCTAAGGAATGAATGACTTCGTATCAATAAACACATATCCAGAATAACAATAAACACGACCATTAATCATAATATTCTCCTGCATAGGTGTGTCAATTTGTCCAAGCAAGCTTTTTTTTTTTTTTTAAATATTTTATTTATTTATTTGACAGAGAGAGAGTGTGCGTGTGCACAAGCAGGGGAAGTGGCAGACAGAGGAAGACAGAGAAGCAGGCTCCCCACTGAGCAGAAAGCCCTATGTGGGACTTGATCCCAGGACCCTGGGATCATGACATGAGCTGAAGGCAGACGCTTAGCTGACTGAGACACCCAGGCACCCCTCCAAGCAAGCTTCTATTTAGAAGTTTACTTGTTTCCAATTTGTTTCATATATAGATATTTGAAAACTTTAAAAAAAATGGTTTTTTTAAAGGCACAAAGAATAACACAGCACACATGATTAAACCTATTCACCCAGAATCAACAAATTTTAAGATTTTGACAGTTTTGCATCACTTTTTAAATAAAAGAAATAACATATTGGAGGTAAAGTTGAAGTCCTCATTCTACTCTTCTCAGTTTAATTTCCCTCCTTCCTTCTACATAGGCAACAGCCATCATGAATTTGGTGCATCTTCTTGCAGTCTGCATGTCTATACTTATAAAAGTATTGATTAGTATAGGTTCTGTGGCATTTTATTGATGAATATGGTATCATAGTGTATATACAGTTCTGCACCTTGCTTTTTTTCCACTCTACAATTCGAATTCTATCATTTATCCTATGAAAAGTATAGAGCTAGTTCATTCACTTAGCTTTTTTGTCACTTGAATATCTACCTTTTATTTTCCTATTATTCCCTATTGCTGGGTATTGTAGGTTATTCTTGATTTTTCACTATTGCAAACAATGCTTTAATGGTCAGTATAACTACAAAATTTTATTGGGGTTTATACAAAATTTTTAAGTCACTAAATTCCTTTTATTTGCAACATTTCTTTGACAAAAAAAAAAATGTTTTCTTTAATTATGTTTACATCTTCGAAGACAGCAAGGGCAGGACCTTTAAACACACACAAAGAAGAATCGCAGCCAGCCCTGCCCGCCTGGGGCTGGGGAGGAGAGAGTGAGTTCAGTGTATGAGTGAAAAGGTACACAGGTGAGTGCAAGACGGACTCAATTACAGAATACCCACTGGGGACTTATACCGTCCAAGATGCCTGGGTAGAGCACAGGATAAGATTGAAAAATGAAATTGAACTCTAAGCCGCACAATAATTGGTTTAATTACCAGAGCTCAAAGAGTAGAGAAAACAGGAGAGCGATCTAGGAAGATTCATTCCTTGTGAGAGCTAAGACGGAGGCAGGGCTGAAAGCCTGGGTGGGAATTAGATGAAAGTGGACAGGATGGCAGGCCAGGGACTTGTAAGGTTGTTAAAAAGTCCAGAGATAATTACCTTCATTACCATTTCTTTTCACATTAAAATTTAAGAACTTCACAAGAACTTATTAGTTAAAAAGGAAATCGGACTGGCTTTTAAAACAATATTAGCCCTCACCATCACCTGCCACAGACTGTAGGTGGTAGGAAGTATGATGTCAGGAGAGTCCAGAAGTAGATTAAGGATTGCTTCCAGGCTATTAGTTCAACTCACATCTCTGCACAATCCTTGCACATGCCCGTGTACCACACCCACAGACCACAAATGGAAATGCAAAATTCAGACTCACTTGTTGGTATACATTTCTATCTAGTTCTGCACATCATGAAACATTTCTCATAAACAAAATTTCCACAGCACTGGGGTTTGATTAAATTAAAACTAATTTTGGATATACATTTGAACGTCGTTTATTACTTGATTCCATGGACTAAGCTGTCCTCTTCTATCCCCTACTTTTAACAGCTGACACCTATTTGGTAACTTGGTGGCTCCTTCAGGCCTGTTAACTTACTTTCTTCGCCAGGGCTGGTGTGAGACGCTTAAGAAAACAGTGGCTTTAACGACAGAGTTACCAACTTTTATACCAGTGCAGTCGAAGCGGCAATACTGGAGCTGGGGGTGGGTGACAAAGTGGCAAAAAGGTCCGCAAGAGTCGGCGGGGAGGCCGCGGGCAGGTGGCGGCGGGCGCTGTTGGCCGCGACCGGGAGGCAGGAAGCGGCGGCGGGGCGGAGCGGGCCGGCCGCCGAGCAGCCAGGGCCGCAGGCGCCCCGCCCGGGCTGGTATGCGGCCGAGAGTGACGCGGGAGGCGGGGTCACGTGACGCCCGTGGAATGCCAACAATGTAGCGAATGTCCCACTTGGGTCTGCGCGCTGGAACCTCGGCGTGAGCGCCCCGGGAAGATGGAGCAGCCGCCGCCCGCGCCGCCGCCGCCCGGGGCTCCCCCGT